TTTTCAAGAAGTTGAAAAAGTAAAACGTTGACACAGACGATGACGGGCAATCACTCATATGATAAGCTTCGCTCGACAAAGTCGACAGCAGAGCTAATAAAGTTAGTAATGAATAATCTGGGAAAATTATATAAAAATGTGCAGATTGTGTTTGAGAAAAATTATGGCATTTAATTCAAGGGTTATAGTTATAATAAAGTTATATTTATTGAAGTTGTATTCTCATTGCTATCTTTTTATCTGCATTGCTTCATCAATTTTGTTTCCTGAGTGATGGTTACCACATTGAATAAAGAACTTACAAGATGAGTATTAACGTTATAGTCTGTGTACGCCGTGAAGGTAGAAATGTTTTAATGCCAAAGACGTTAACCTCTGTGAATTTGGATCAGACATTTACTGACTTGATTAAACAATGCATTCAAAATGACAGTTGATGTTCTGAAATAAATGAAGATTCCACAGAAAATGTGAAACCAGGTACTGGAGTTTTGGTTTGCGATAAATTTAATATGAAGTGAGTTACTTTCACTGTGTTGCACACAACCTACCCTGGACGTATATTTGGAATAACAGAAGATAATATTAAAAACAGTTTAGTGTAGTTAGACCATTGTGCAACAAATTCCACAACAACAGACAGAATGCAAAGACATGGGAGAGTTTCATGAAAAAACGCAGACATTAAAAATCATCAGCTTGTTAGTCGACACACTTATTTATGAGGCTGTCGACTAAATGTACTTACATATATATATATACCGGTACTCAGATATTTAGTTTTCAAATAAATACATAAAAACGGTATGACAACAATTCCAATGTATTAATTATGAAAATACTAATTGTGAAAACATTTGTCTTGAATATTTTCTAATGCTAATCCAATAGTTGCTCTGGGAAACAAAATCTGACATAATCAACTGTATACAAATATTGATTGACCCACTACTACTAGAAATTAATTATTAATAAGTTGACTGAAATATTTGTGAAAATCTACAAACCTGCGAGACAGCAAAAGTCAGTATGACGCTCTGTTTTCAAGAATGCCATTGCATATTTAATGTTGCAAAAGTTGTACTTGTGACATGATTAAAAGTTTTATACACTTACTATTACAGGAGGGTAAATCTGAACTGGTTGTTGGTGATGAGAAGACCAAGTATGAAGTGAATAAAGATGACATAGTATTGGTGCCCCAAGGATGGAAGTAAGTGCTATGACCTAGCCCCTGCTAGAAGGGCAAATGCTAAAACTGTGAAACAACGCAAGTTCAATTTCACTTATCCCAATTTTAATACTGTGAATTGAGACTGGGGTAAGTCAACTAGGTTAACTGCACATTGTTCAATCATTACTGAGTCAAGTACATCTATTTTGAAGTGCCTTTCAAACAGAGAAAATTCAGTATTGCTAGTGTGTTCATTTATACAGAATATCCTAATTGCAAATGCAGTATTTAATTGCTCATGTGCTACAATACAGCAAGTCTCAAAAGTATACTTCCTCACTAATTTGCTAGCAACATAGATTTTGACCTACCAAGTACTTAATTTTTTACTGGCCGATCCTAAAGTTCTTTGGCCATATTTGAGAAAGCTTCACCAAATTGTGCCAGGCTTTGAATGAAAATTTACAGAAATTCATTACATTAAACATGATTGTTGACACTCATATTGCACTCAAAATAGCCCTTATATGCATGATCTTGATTATAATTAAAAAAAAAGGTTAAAAAATTTATCCCCACTTACCTACTCTATTTTTAGCTCCGCTGTCGACTTTGTCGAGCGGAGCTTATCATATGAGTGATTGTCAGTCGTCATCGTCTGTGTCAATGTTTTACTTTTTCAACTTCTTCTTGAAAACTACAAGCCTGAATGCTTTGATACTTGGTGTATATGTACCTTGGGTAGACCTCTATCAGATTTGTTCATTTCATGATCATATCTTCAATTCTCTAATTTTGGTGAATATTTTTGTCATTTTTGGTAAAAAGTGGTATTTTCATCTTCTTGTTAAAAAACGCAAGTCAAATTGCTTTGATATTAAATATATAGGTACTACATGTGGACCTCTCTCAGATTTGTTCATTTTGTAATGATATCTTTAATTCTCTAATTTTGGTGAATATTTTTGTCATTTTTGGTAAAAAGTGATATTTTTGACTTCTTGTTAAAAACCACAATCATTTATGGTGAAAAATGATATTTTTGAATTCTTGTTAAAAACAGCAAGCCCCATTGCATTGATACTATACATATTGTTCATTTTCTGATGATATCTTCTGTTCTTTAATTGAAATGTGCATTGCTAACAGCGGAGCTATCTCCGCCGAGAGGCTGCTTGTTTAATGGCATGTTTTAGAAACCACAACATTTATTTTTATTTTCCCCAATATATACAGATTTGATAAACAAATCATAATACCTATTAGTTCTATTGAAAATATCACTTGTAGTAATTACACATTGACTCTGTATCACTGATACTGAGTATATAATTCCCTTTTTAATTAACATACTTGTGATTCATACATTGTATTTTATAGGTACACTGCCAACCGAGGTGATGGATCTCTGTGTCTGGTGTGTTTCCAAGATCCTACTAAAAAGAAACCATGGAAAAAAGAATAATTAAAATGGCTGTGTTTATCATTTTATCCAGCACAAGTTTTTAGTTTATTGTCTCGTTTTGAATTAGATTAGGAAATTGTATTTTTTTTAATTTTGTTGTGCCAGCAGACGACAGTTCTGGACATTGAATGTCACTGTTGTCTCTTGCTGCAAAATATGTATTGCCGATTTCCCTGATTAATAGCTTTGCTGCTACTTTTCTCAGTACTTTGTAATACATTTAGAATCATTGCTTTTCATCATGATTAGTTACTGTTAATATTGGATAATCTATGTTGCAATGTATGGTTCTATAAAGTTGAAAATTTAACCAATTTGAACAATTGGGTTAGGGATGAATTCCATAAAAGTGGAAAGTTGTAAGGTATTTACAAATTGATCATGTATATGTGGAAAGTGGGGATTTTAAAACTAAGTAATGACATCATATTACATCACTTTATGATGTCTTTATCAGTATGATACATGCACATAAACCTATTTAAACTCTGGTTACCTTGCTCTATGTTTTTATTCTTTGAAAGTATTGTCACTTGTATGATAAACCCAAGATAAAATAACCAAAATTGAGAAGAAACAATGTAAGCATTCAATGACCGATATTTGAGAATTCTGAATAATGGTTTGAATATAAGAAAATGATGATGCTAAATTTACCAAAACAGACTGATTACGATCAGTTTTATTATATGAATTCCATGTTGACTTTTGAAGCATACCTAAATTGGTAAATACATTTTCAGAACATGCTGAATACAAAAATAACCAAGAAACAATCACTATCAGGCAGAAGTAATTAAATATTTTGGTAGTTTTCAAAAATAACACAATAATATAAATTTTTGTCAAAGTATTCTTTACAATTAGATTGAAGGTATGATCACAAACAGGGGGAAAATCTGATATGTACACCTAAAGTACATGTATATACCAAGTATCAAAGTATTCAAGCTGGTTGTTTGCTAGAGAAATCCAATAATATCTTATTTTTACCCCAAATGACAACGTACATGTACCTGTAGTCACTTAAAATAAGGAATTTAAAAAATATTTTCAAAATAAACAAATCTGATACAAGCAATTTGGCTAATAGTTTTCAGAAAGATTTATATAATTTTTTTACCAAAAACAATAATATTCATTGAAAAAAAATGAAATTGATGAAATGAATAATTTGATACAGGTTATTATACATTGTATGTAACTTTGTCACTTTTTAAATATAATTCAGATATGTTATTTTTACATCATGTTATATACTTCAGTTGAGTGATGTATAATGAATAAAGTGTGGATATCTCCATTCAATTATATTCCTGTTGATTTCAATTAAAGTTGTCTTTAAAAAGTCTTTAGTATTATGAAAGCTCTATAATGAATTGTGATTTTATGAAGTTGTAAACATTGACAAAACAAGCATTCATTTAATGTGCTCCCATGGCAAGTGAATTATACATGTCCAATATAGTATACATTTTGTATCATTTTCAGCGCCACCAAACTGTTGATATTGAGACACAGTCCAGTATTCTAAAGAATTTACAGAGATCAATTTTGAAGGCAGACAGAACCAATGAACATTTTGATGCATACAGTTAAAAAAAAAATTTGGAGAACAATATTACAAAATCTTTTGATATTTTTGCACAAGACATAGTCAGTTGAACTTGGGAAGGATTTTATGTTTCACCTCCAATATCTTTTGCCCTTCATATTAAAATATTACAGGCAAGGCAAAATGAAATGCCCTGGTATATTTTTAAGCCAAACAAATGGTGCTAATAACTTTCAAATATTTACTATGCAATACAATCTGATTTTTTAAATGAACATATTGATCAAATTTGATATGCAGCCAAAATGTAGGACACTTGTACAGGTATGCATAATTAGGTAGGTAGGTATGCATCGATCAGTGCAATTGAAAACATGCAGTCAGTTTATAAGGAACATACACTCTTCTGTTGTCGTTCACCAAATTAGAAAACAAACGTGGATTCTATGTATAGTAGAATCCAGTCTGAACATGACGCCTATCACCAACTAATTGCTACTGTGGAGAGTGATACACAAACAATGCACAAGATCATTTGAATTTTATTTTACACTGAATTCCCCAAATTCACATTACAAATATTCCAGTCAAATAGTTCATTCACTGATCTGCATATTAAGTACAATATTTGAAAACTTTAACACAAGTGATAATAAAGCTGGAGTAGCACCACATACAAATTTACTTAATGCCCATTTGGCCAGTGATTTGGCCAATCATAGCACCGTCATGAAAATGAACAGATTTCATGCAAACATTTAGAAATACTCTAATGGAATAATGATGCAAAAGAATAAATACTGTAGAACAGAACAAGAATACTAGTACCATATTTGCTCTATTAGTAGCACATGTGCTTGTGTAAATTATGAGGGTGTTTCTATGGTCAAAATAAGTTGCATTTTAATGATTCAATATACAACAAATGCCATTTTTAGTTTGAATACACTCCTAGCAATAGGGGATGTGCTTCCAAGATAAAAATAGGAACTGTATAAAATGTATGTTATCTGTTATTTCCAAATATATGTGAAAAATAGTGTCAGAAAGTCAAGATTTCAATACAAATAGTATTCTTAGTAGAAAGAATGTACATTTTCAAATAAACTGTTGAAATAATTGGTTTTCCAATTTCTGATAATCACGAGATGTGGGAAAAAATATAGTCCAGTGTACTATTTTAGTAGCAGTTGTTATTCCCCAAAAAAATAATATATATAACTCCATAGTTGCATTCATTGATGCAGCAATATAGATTCAACAATGTATAGTTCAGTTGTTCAAGTGAAGCAAAGAAATGCAGTACCCTGTACAAGAAAATAACTTCATAAAAATACAGTGTAAATGGATAACAATGCCCACATATCCTGTCATTTTTACCAGCTTTGGTAGCAGAAAATAATGAATCAGTTTTGGACGTTCAAATACATGTATACTACAAGGTTTTCACAAGAACACTGCAAAGTTTGTACAAAAGCAGTATGGTAATCATATCAACGAACATGTAGCAGAGATTGCTGTGATCCTGTATTGCCTGTGTACATACTTTGCAGTATTTTCATTTATAATATATTGTAACACATCTTTTCCCTGTTTGAAATAATTAAATAACAGATAATTAAAGGCAAAAACCATGTTGCAATGTCAGGACAGGATCCTATTTCATGTTGTGCCTTTGATGTAAACAAAGAAAAAAAGAGTTTGCATATGTGGCACCTCGTATCTTGCATTTAAGTGTGAGAGCAATTATGCCTAAGTGAGTAGTAATTCATTAATTCTAATATTTAATGTTGTGGATATCACAAGAAAAATATGAATTAGAAGTATGTTACGAAAAACATTTGGTCCACTGGTTTTATATGCCATGCCAAATATGCCAAAAAGCAATTGTGAATGGGTATTACTGGTATATAAAAAATTAATTGCAGAATATGATTTTAAGTGGGCCTGTCAAATTATAAAGTTAGATTTTTAAACAATAGACACTCACAACATGAAGTAGCTTTTTTTGTGCTTGAAGGTCACAGTAATGCCGTTCACATTACAGATCCTGGCACGTGTCGAAAAGAAACTTAATCTTGGTTCCTATATCAAAATTTCGACATGTGCCGAGATCCCATAATGTGAATGTTGCTATAGTAGGTATGTTTATCTAAGGAGTAATAGCCTTCAGAACTCATGACATGTTTGGAAATATAAGCGCATCATTTTAACACATTGTTCTGGGAGTGATGTGGAAAATGCAACTTCACCTGCTTTGTGTAATGCCCAGTAATAGTTTTTTTCTTGGCCTCATAAATATAATTATAATAAAATTTCTTTATATATAATATCATAAAAATATACATATATTAAGAAAAGTGAATACATAATTATTTACTTGAGATAAATGCTTATTATATAAATAAGTTTATGCTGTCACTAGCCAATTATTACCACTATTAGTTGTCTGTCTAACTTAATAACAAGAGTGAGAATTATTATTATAAAATCAGTCTCAACCCAGAATTGTTATTAATGGTTCAAAACTCTTGGTTGTTGGACATAAAATCAGTATTTAAATTCAGTCTTTATGTCACTATTAGCCACTATTTGAATACAGTTAGCAAATAATTCCTACTTTTGTCTAAGTTAGACAGATATCTAACTGTACCTGTATATAGATAGTGTAAGTAATTGGCAGTGACTTTATATAAATAAATTAAAGCTGGAACCAGTTTTTATAAAACACAAGAGAATGAATGACTAAATAAATATCTGAAAATAAAACAAGAATTGTACCATTACCATCTGAGAGGCATGTAATGATAAATATTCCATCCCAAATATGGATGTTTGTGTCCTCATGCAAAGAGTATGTTTGCCATCCTAACATTTGGCAAATTATCTTCTGTGTTTCAGGATAAGTACCCATATTTAGCTAGTAATATATATATATATACAACACTTGTATTAGGATTCAATATCATCAGCTGCATTTTTTTCTTTCTATTTGTATTTTTCAATCTATGTATTACCATATCAAAATGAATTTTGTGGCACCAAATGTATATTGGGTATAATCAGAGATACTATAAAATAGTGTCTTTGGTACAATTATACAGGATGTGCAAACATTGAAAGCACCTAGACAGATGGAAAACAATTCATATTCTAGCCAGGTAAACTGACAGATTAGTACTGTGATTATCTAGTGTATACTCATTTTATGTATTAACGTTAGCATCATCTGCTTTCAATTTGGATTAAAAACATTAAAAGTATATTCGGTGAAGATTAAAACCTTATAGGACCATTCAAAATATTTTTACACAACCCAATAAATGAATTATTAAATAATTTAAACAAACGTTTAACAGATGGTTGTAGGCTTTTGAACGAGTCATCGAAGATTGATGTTTTCAGTGAATCGATTTTGAAAAAAAGAACATCAAAATTGGTATCATTGATAAAACCACATTCAAAATACACAAGATGTAAAATAACTTATGATTATTCACTTTTATTTTTCAGTCCACTGTTCTTGGAGGTTGTGTTCTCAGTTGAATTCTTCTCTTCAGTAGATAAGAAATTTGGTGAAGTGAACTGCAGACGTAGTGCATTTTTAATCAATACCTGCTCTGACATAATGGATCCTATGTACCATCCTGGGGCATACTCCAGCGTTATAAGTCCCATGAAGTCGGCATCAAACGGGGTATAATCCCAGGGACATGCATCAAACTGTTTGAGCACATATCCAGAAGAGAATTCCCACAAGTATATCCATACAGTGTAAATAAGTCCCCTGACAAGTATAGAATAACGATCTTTTAACAAGGACAAATACATACGCTCTATGATAAGAGTGGAAATGCCATATATAAATAATGACCATACACTAGAGCAGCCTGGAAACTTCCAGTTGATGTTGATAACAAACTCCCATCCAGCTGTGAACATCACTTCAGCAAAGTAACCATGAATAGCATATATATAGAAGCGTACAAAAATAGATAAGGCTCCATCATTCAGCATAATTGAGAATCTGTAATATACAAATTATTACACATTGTATAAATGGTATACCTACAGGCTATTTTTTGTTGTTGAAAACTTGCAATCTGACTATCCTCATATACCGGGGTAATAGCACATATACCCAATCCCAAAACAAAAATTATATACCGTGAAAACTCTAGAGTTTCGACCACTCCGAAATTTTGTTTGTCTTAGAGTTTTAAGTGGTTTTGTGAGTCTAACAATTCGACTTTCAAAAAAAAACTGGTCGCAATTTCAGAGTTTTTATGGTACACCTCAAATATCAAAGACAACAGGCTAGTAGTTTTTAAAATATCAACTTGTGCTAAGCGTGATAACAATATTTGTGAAAAACAATAGTTAATGATATCGTCACAAAATTAACACATCTTACAGAGCTCTACCCAAGGCATCTTTAAGTTGAGTATTGAAGTAAATTAACTTGTTGTTTTTAAGAGGGATTCAAAAATAAAGAATATTTGCTAAAAATAAGGAATCAATGATATCATCTCAAAATGAACAAATCTGACTGTGGTCTATTCTTGGTACCTACATATCAAGTATTAAGTATTTAAGCAATCAGGCTGATAATTAATAATAAAGAGGAAGTGAAAAATATCAGTTTTTACCAAACATTCAAAAATATTTGCTAAAAATAAAGAATTAATCTTATCTTCATAAAATGAATAAATCTAACAAAGGTCCAACCGAGATATGAAAGTAATCCGGCTTGTAGTTTTCAAGAAGCTGAAATTGGAATTGTTGAAAGAAGACGACTAATAATCAGCTATATAAACAGCTCTACTCAGCCATCTATGAAGACAGCAGAGCTAATAATGAGTAATAACCCAAAATGACTTGCATCAAGATCTCATTATGTCCAATGTATCATGTACATTGTACTAGGTTCTAAGTAAATTTGTTCATGTGCATACAACAGAGATACAGAAATTTTGATGCACTTTTAAAATGGCTGCTCCTACTCCCATCATGCATGCACATAAACATAGTAACTGTTCTATAGTGTCTGTTACAAGTTGTATATTGTGAATGAAAAATACATTTACTCATTGTAATAGGTTATGTATTATTGTGATAAGAGATAATGACCAAAATGTTATGATAGTGTATTAAAGTATCAAGTGACTTTTAGTACTTGTCTGAGATTTGATATACATGGGTCACTGTCCTGTATGTGTTTTCTCATAATATCTATTATAATGTCTTTGAATTCAACCACGCTGCCATTAGCCACCTGTTGATATATGTGTGACATGATGCAATCATTCAAGTGTCAAGTTTGAAAATGATTCCGGCATGTTTGAGATACAGATGTGGAAGGATGGATATATGGACATACATCTGTTTTTGGAGTTCGGCTGAATGGAAACTAATAATCTCAATATATTGCAACGTCAAAAGGGTGTCATCAGCGTATTATGATATATCACAACTCCATAAAAGACCATGGTATTATTTTATATAATCGCTTAAGAAGTTCCACCACCAAAACATTTTATCTCATTTTTGTTGACCCATAGTTTACAGATACTGTGCATGGATTATGTCAATGATTTATCATTTTATTTTAATAAGATGAGCTCAATTACAGATATCAGTCATTTATCTACGTTCCAGCCCCTCAATAGTTTATCCTGACGTTAGTCCTTTGAAATACAGACTGTTTGTAATTGCCAACACACTGACGTCATTTATTTACATTTTTACCAACCAGTATCAGAATGTCTGATAAATTTCACAAAAGCTTGTGATCTTCGGTGAAAAATAACGAAAACTAATTCCAAGCAAAATCAAGTATTTTACAGTATTTTATTTGTCTTTGGATGCTGATTCTTGTTAACCAGTCACTGTGCGTATACTCGTGCATACAAACCGTTCAAACAAGTTAGACTGTTGTGGTTATGATGGATATTGACAAATCAGAAGTATTATTACATATTTACTGCGGTATTCATAAGCTTGTGTAATAATTGGTATCGATTGCAAAAATATGAAAATGAAATAAAATTGATTTTTTTTCAAGTCATTTAATGCACAACTTGAAATGCCACAGTACATTTCAACACTTTATATTTGTATTAATGTTATGACTATGGATATTGGAATAATAAAACCTTTTGCCAACTTTTGCACATGAAGAGAATAAAATGGAATTCTGGATTAACCAATTAATAGATAGAATCCCTGACTTTGTGAAATTTGTTTGTAAAGTCTGGGAACATATGTAATATTACCAGAATGCCATGACCTTGTCCTGACGTGTGTGGATCGAGTATGGAAGTTATTTTAACAATTGATGCAGTGTACAAATGAAATTCATTTCCCAGAGTTCCCAAAATTCAGACCATCAAAATATTCACATAGTAATATTCCCATCTAAAAAGCTTTAGGAGTCTGGGAAGGGAAACTGTAAATATTGTTAAAAATAATAAGTTACCAACATGGTGGAACAAAGACCTCACTAAAATTACATTAATAATCAGTTCAAATTCAAATCTGCAAGAAAATGGTGGTCGGGAAAATTCAGACAACATGATAATTTTTAGGAAAATCATCGTAATTTGAGAAATAAAACATTTATTTTATTTCTAAGTTCATATTGGTTGGTTGATTTGCTCTTATGACCATGTAGGTTATTAGTATGGTTGTTTTGAATACCTCCACGCTTAGCCGT